ATGGCTGAGAACAGTTTATCTTGTTACCAACTTCCCGATCCTACTTTTCACAAAGTAGCTGAGCGCTATACAATGAACCTTGTAACAGCTATAATCAATATGGTAACAGCCCCTCTCGCTGTTATCAGCAACCTTTTAATTTTCGCTGCAATCGTTTCTCGACTTAGAGCACCATCAAAAATTTTGATCGCTAGTTTGGCCCTCTCGGATGTCTTTGTTGGGCTTGCAGTTCAGCCGGGTTACATTATGTACCGACTCATGGAAAATCAGCATCGTTCCGTTCCCTGCTTTGTCAGAATTGTATATGCAAATGCTTTTTACATTTGTTGTGGTGTGGCTTTCATGACACTAGCTGTTGTTAGTTATGAGCGATTGATTGCAGTTCGACTTCAGGTGAGGTACAATGCTGTGTTCTCCTCAAGTCGTATTCTGAAGTATATGGCATTTATCTGGATACTCAACATTCTTTTTACAAGTTTGCAGTGGGTTGTGGTAAAGCAGGTTTCAAGAGGTATACATTTGATAGCTTGGTTCATTTGTCTTCTCGTAGCTGTAGTATCAAACATTGGAATCATTTTGAGTTTACGACAACATTCCCGACGCGTGCAACCCGCCAGTCGTCATCCATCTCAAAGAAACCAGAGCAAGCGAAGAATATTTAGAGAAGTAAACGTAACAAGAAGCATATCATTCATAGTTGCAGTTTACTTGATGTTTAATATACCAGTTTTGTTTGTGACAATTTATCATCAGATATTGGGTAGAGATATCAAGACTTATAACCACTACAGTTGGTCAGAAACTCTTGCTTTTTTCAACTCGTGCACAAATCCATTGGTGTGTTGTTGGAAAAGTCGCGAAATCCGCCAGGCGGTGAAAGCAGTAGTAGAAAGAATTTTCTGCAAATAGAATACTTTTAGATTGGAGCTCGAAAGAGATGTCAAGAGTTAGGACCACTACAGCTGGATGTGTAGTTGGAATTACAAAATTCGTAAAGCGCCAAAGAATACTAACACGCAGAAGATGTTTGCAAAGAAAATTTATATCCTTAAGCATCTCGAATCCCGTCCATTTGAGAGAAACTAAAATACAGTTTGAAACGGATTAAGTTTAGTCAGTGGTCTTCGTAGAAATTTATGTCATTACTACGTAGATATTATTTTTGCGCAAGTAGATACTTGATAACCGTCTGTTCCCTAAAAAATATTAGTACTGATACGTCCTTTGATGCTTTTCTAAATACGTATAAACGATGCAAATAATCCATTACACTCTCCCTTTTGTGATATGGCGCTTTAGACTACAACCCGGCAAGAAAAAGCAAAAAAATAGGTACACAGGAAACTTTTTCCAAATTAGCCGACATGACAAAGCCCATAATAGTACAATGTAGTTGTAGCGAAAACCGTTGCTTCCTTGCAGCTTTCAACTGTCGAGCTAGATAAAGAATTTAGACAAACCTGTAAATACCTAGTTCCTCAGTGATTTATCAGAACTATATGCCTGTGTGGGTGAAAGAGCCCGTAGAACACATAACTGACAGAACTTTGTCTCGGAATTTAAAGAGATATCTGCAAAAGGTATAAAATCCGGCATGTCTGGCTTCCTTCGCGAGAGGGACTCCTGTGTGGCTCCAATAATCTATCTTAAAAAACATTTAATAATAATAATAATAATTTATCTCTAACGTATTACATCATTAAATTCTCTATGCTCGGAAAAAAAAACCATTAGTGATTTAGGATAAGTAAAACCTTTACAATAGTAAACGTTGGTGCACAATATGAAGAAGCGCGACAACCATGGCTCTTTGTCCTGAGCATCGGCCTGTATAGTCGCAGGTTGAGTGGAGACGCCTGTTCCGTTGATGTAAAAGTAGCAACTTGATTGGAAGTTAGCGAGATGTGGAATTAAAAGCTGTCAGCAGAATTCTCCACTTGCTTTGAAGTACTAAAGAATTGGCCCAGCTTTTCTCTTTCCAACATAGCGACATGTAGTGTAATGTTGTCATTTTTTTGCGGTGTTGATTTGAAAATTACTTTTTCATCTCCTTTATTGTCATCTACCTTACAGTAGTTAATTTTTGGGCGCTTCATTAGAATGATCGACTCTGATTGGTCCCCAATAGCCTTTCCCTTTCCTGGAGCCTCATACAAGACCAAACTTTCTGTTTTGACCCTTTCCCTTCAGGTTACTTCCCACCTTCGCGAGTGTCCTTCGGGGAAAAATTCGTACGCGCGCTAGTTTCACTAAAATTCCAGCAAACTAGATATCAGAAGAAAGCTTAATAACTGCAGTTTACGATAAAAGTATAATTTAAGCGACTTGTTTTAAAGGGAGTATCAAGAGCCGGTAAGGCGGGAAACGACCGAAGGTTCTTCTATTTAATTTATCAGGTATCAGACGCCGCAGCACGAGCAAAATGGCTGAACAGTCTTACCACATTATGACGTAAACAGTGATATGCTACTGAGCAGATACCAGGAAACATGAAATCAAATTGTTAAATAGAAATATTATGATAAAAAGAATGTTGTTGAGTTCTTTTTTTTTTCGTTCGTTTTATTTTTTTTTTAAGGTTCAAGGTTGTCAAGGTTTTACTCATGCATCCTTGGCATCAGCTGGTGGGACAAAGTGCCCAACGCCTAAGTTCTTGCCCGTGCCGGCCTCCCCACGATGCAAACGCTGCTCAAGCGACGCAGAATGCACTAGCTTGGCCATGGGCGTCGTATGGAAGACGGTCGGATCCTCAAGGACATCTTCTATGGTCAACTTGCTTTGGGCAAAAGACCCTAAGGTCGCCCCCAGCTGAGATATAAAGATGTCTGCAAGCGCAACATAAAAGCTCTGGATATCAATATAGAGATCTGGGAGGACACTGCAGCAAACCGCAGCAGCTGGCGCTGCTTGCTGAAGAAATTCGACATCGACCGAAGGAGGCCTACTACTATTCCACAACTACTCATGCTGAATGACCAGGTTATTCAATGTTAGCTCTTGCAAAAAGTTTTTACAGGTTAAGAATAACTAGAGGTCAGTGGTCGTTGACTTCTCAGTAGAAGTTAACATTTGCAGAAGTTGTTGCAAAAGTGGTTGGTTTACGAGAAGAAACAGAGAATAAACAGAACTTTGATCATGACAAGACAAGTACAAACGCTTAGTACTTTCCACTAAGCGTGGTTTTATTTGCTTTTAAGCCTGGCAAGTGCTAACATTAGTTTTCGACGAAGAGTTTTAATCGTTTTACAGTCCATCAAAAAACATCAACTTATAGACAAACTAGCTTCTTTAAGATATTTTTGACCTTTCGACGAACTTCTCTATTTTTCCAGCAGCATATCAGTGCATTTGTGCAAGAGTTAAGAAAGGCGAGTGTCTCCGTCCAGCTGTAGTGGTTGTGAAACCTAACTCTAAATAATTGATCATATATTAAAACAAACAGCACAGGAAAGTTCAAAATCAAGTACACTCCTACAAGAAAGGAGATGTTCTTCGCAAGCTTGGCCTCTCGTTGTCTCTGAAGATTTCCAGCGCCTTGGAGTTGTAGCTGGACCTGTCCACGTTGTCTTCGCACAACGTGAGGACGCCAATCTGGGTGGCTATAGAAACAAGAAGACAAGTTTATGAAACCATCATATGGATTTTTTCAACCACAGATACAATAGCAGCCCATTTAAGAGCTGTTAACAAAACATTCACGTTCCATATGATTAGAACATATTTCACAACTCGCGTCGAAGAAAAGAGGGCGTTGTACCTAACTCGCAGTCGAACAGCTACGAAGCGCTCATAACTGACAGCGCTCAAAGTCATGAAAGATACTCCAAAGCAAATAAAAAAAGCCAAATTATACATTATCCTCACAAAACAAGGAACTAAACGACGCTGGCTTTCCATGAACCTGTATGCAATATATCCAGGCTGGACTGTTATAGCTACAAACACATCAGAAAGAGCTAAGGAAGCAACGAATAGATTAGAGGGAGTTCGGAGACGAGGACAACCAAAGTAAATGGTGACAATCAGTAAATTTGCAATAACGCCGACTGGAGCCGTAACACTGTTAATGATGGCTGTAAGAAGGTTGACTGTAAACCGTTCTTGAGCTTTATGGAAGAATGGATTGGCAAGATAGAAACAAATTTTCTTGCTCGGATTAATTACCCTCCATCTCGCAGAGGCCGGTTCCTTGGTTATGACTTCTTCAATAAAGATCAGAGCTGTAATGGCCCTAATGTATTTGAAACGTTTTAATGCATTAGTGCCCTGTTCCAAAGTAAATAACTTTAATGGCCATTGCATGGCAAATCCATTTAGTACACTTCCATTTTGAAGTATAGTTTCGTTGCAGCTGAGAAAAAAACGTTAAATCAAACAACAGTTATTGCTACTTAACAAAAAGGCGGATATCTATTTAAAAGGCTTTTAGGAATTCGCCAACCGGAACAGGCTTAATCATATCGCAGCTGGAAAAGCTATAGCTAGTTTTGTATCAGCAGCATTAAACAAAACTGCATTGCCAGTGTAAAGAAAACTATACAGTACTGACCAGCACAGCATTGCCAGTGTAAAGAAAGCTATGCAATATGTAAGGAAATGAAAATAGAACCCTGGAAACGTTTTGTTTATATTCTTCTAATTAAAAACTTCAGTGCTATTTTAACTTTAAAACATACTGGATGATCTCAATTAGGAACATGCTCAATAAGGATCAAATTTGTAATAACGCCGACTGAACCTGTAGCAGTGTTAAAGATGACTGTAATAAGGTTGATTGTAAACTGTTCATGAGCTTTATGGAAGAATGGATCAGCAAGACAAAAACTGGAATTTTCTCGCTCGGAGTTATTACCCTCCATTTAGCAGATGCAAAATACAAGGAAATGAGAGCATAGCCTTGGAAACGTTTTGCTTATACTGTCAGTGAATATTAAAGCCTTCTTCGGTTAATACATTTGGGTCCACTTTCCAGTTATTTAATTATCAAATCAAAAATGAAAAATGCCTTTAATTTCGACTTGTATGACACGCTAGAAATGTAAAAGATGGCAGATTTGAATTATAGGGAGGTGAAAACGCAGCTGTTGAAAGTCGTTTGACAGTTTTTCAGTAAGAGAACTGGCATCTGGTAATTTATATTCGCGGGAATAACTGTATTCTAACCTAAGACGATTGAAAAAGTTTTCTTTCGGGAAATTTCAACGGCCTCAAGCTAGAATGGTTCCAGTTGAGTCGGATGATCCCATATGATTATGCTTTTTTTCATATATAAATTTTATAACTGACCTTCTGGTTCCTTGGATTTCAAACTTGAATTCAAACAGTATACTAAGGGGGCTAACCAGGTTTCGGTTTACTTTGAGGCACACTGACATGGTTAGAGAACTGTTCAGAATAAATTTGCTTTTCTGGAATGACATCTCATGAAGTGAAGAAACCTTTGTAGAGTGTTACTTGCAGAGACGCAATGCAAAAACGCTAAGGTAACGTAAGAGAACGGAAAAAAGAGGAAAACCTTGTATTAGAGTTGAAACATTTTTTTATCATTTTTTTTTTGGCGAATTAGGTTTCAGTGAATTTAAAGATCCTTCAGCCAGTTGACTCTTAGATAACTATCTATGTTTCATATGGGAACACTAGAACACAGAAGTCCGCCTAACAGTATTAAAAAGCTCTTGTATTGGAAAGTATTGAATAATTCACCTCGTATTATTTCCATTGGTAAATATGTTCATATACACATAAGGACAAAATTGAAAAAGGCCTGCTGGATGCCTCTCTGGAAGAAGCTGTGTTTAGTGTTATGCGGAGTTTGCAGCCAATGATTGGTACGAACTTTTCATGGAGGGAACAAAGCGAGAGTTTAAGATTACCAAAGATCGCCCACATGAAAGAGGAAAAAGGGAAGC